CTTATGCGCGTGCCATCGTCTTTCCAGTTTTCTTCTCTTTCTCTTTGCAATTTTAATTTCATCCGTAAACCATGGCGCATAATGGCGAAGAGGAACAGACCTACGAATGATTGGGGCATGATTGTCGATCATTGATTGCAGAGTGGAGTTGAATTGATCAAAAGCTAATGGAAGGTCATCATTTAGAGGTGATCTAATTAGCGCGGATTCTACCAGGTCAGAGGAGAACTTATACATGTCAGTGACACGTAAACGTCGAAAAGATAACATTTGATCTTGAACAACATGTTTACAAAAATCCAGATTACACCAGATCATAAAAGGATCAGAAAGTGCAGGATCAAAGACTAAGAGATTCTTGATGAAAGATTGTTCCTCTCTAGTGATAACGAGGTCAAGAGTATGGCCATTCTTATGCGTAGAATCATTTACATGCTGGCGAAGGTTAAATGAATGAAGAAGGCCAGTAAATCGCCGACCAGCATCAACATGAAAGTTGAAGTCACCAACAATCAGCAAATAGCCTGATGCCGTTACTATACGGGCAAGATAGCTAGCAAACTCATCAAAAAATAGTGACATATCGGATGAAGGAGGACGGTACAAAACAATTAAATGGACAAAATACTTCGTAGCCCTGAGTTTCAGCTCAAGATGTTCGGAAGAGCAATAGGATTCATGTGCTTGAATTTTGGCCTTTATATTATTCTTGAGAACAATGCCAACCCCGCCACCAGTAGTATGTAATCGAGGGACATGGTGGAAAACATATCCGTCTGGACAAATGTCACGGATATAATATAAATCCGAGTCATCACCACGAAGCCACGAAGCTGAAGGCTTCTGAAACTGAAGGTTTCTGCACCAGAAGAATGTCATTCATTCTCTTGAAAAAAAGAGAGAAAGACGATGCCACTACCGCCAGTATTCAGTTAAAATTAATTTCTTCAATAATTTTTCTTTTAGGAAAAAACCCCTCTTCTGTTAATTATCCCAGAAATATCGTGCAATCTTTTCCGGGATCCGGATCTTTACTCAGCAAGATGAACACAGTTGAACAGAGAGAGAGGAATATCTTAGAGCTTCATAAAAAAAAAACTCCATAAACATAAGGAAAGGCTAGTTTATATGATTGACAGTACAGCTTTTGTGAAGTAAGAAGGGAGACAAATTAGCCATCGAACTGAGGAAAAAAATGAAATTGAAATTACCGATAAACTAACGTGAAGCAACTTTTATGTAATAAAGTTCATCTTTCACGTGTGCCGGCCTTCTGCAGTCTCGTCCGGCCCATTCTGACTTGATAGAGCTTTGCATAACTTTCATTGTTAACTGAGTCTTAAAAAAATTTTTAAATTATACCGCTATCATTTTCAACATTGTAACAATGTATGCCATGCGGAAAACTTCGTCTTTGCCAAGGACTTTGAAAACCTTGCCGCTAAGTCTTGCAGTTTCTGATGGAATATTTCAGGCTCTTTATTTTCATCTGCTTCGTCGTGAAAATAATAATAATAAACGATAATAAACGTGATAAACGTCGATTGTATACGTGCGGAACCAAGGACAACGCATCGATGATATTTATTTTAAGTATTTACGCCGTTAAACTGGATAAAAAGGGACAGAGATACAGAGATATCAATAGATGTTTGTCGCTCGTTTAACACTGAGCGGAATACCAAATGGGATATTTGCTATTTAAACGGCTGTCACCCCCCGCCCCTCCTCCCTCAGCATTTGAATCGGTTGTAAATTACAGCCGATAACCTTTCAGTATCGCAAGATATTTTTCTCGTTTTGCATGATAGTCTACCCACCTTGTAGTATGAAGTTAGTTAATTAGCGTTGACATGTGGGGAACAGAAATGTTCCTGGAATTAACTAAACTTCATATATCGGAAGACTTTAAAGGATTAATTTGCAAGAAATGAATCGAAATTACTCAAATTAATAGAAGCTCATAAGAACATTAGATAAATAGCTCCTGGCATTCCTACTTTCTTATAAAATGTCAGTTGGATATGTTAACGAATAAATTTGCCTTAAAGTTTGAAAGTCATTCTCATTGTTTTTCATCAAGTGCATCGGGAAAAGTCGGGGCTCACAATAGCATTTTTGAGCGCAAATTAGTCTCAGTGAATTAGTCTTCACACTTACAGTTTGGTGCAGGTTTTCAATGGACAAGTATCGATGATGCACGGAACTGGCAACAATTGGCCTTCGGTTGCTCACTGCTTGTCACAAAGTCAGAAATTAACTTAATTTCTTTTGCCATGTGACGTTGCTAAGCTCACAAAGCCGAATAGCCGGCGAAATAGAAAACCAGTATCACTGGTTATTCCGGCTTTAATTCAATAATTCCGATACGCCAGAGGACCCTAGAGTTTAGTATCGAGTAATATATCTTCCTTTTCATTTCGTGGAAACTGTCCCATTATCAGTTATTCACGCACGAAGCCTTCTTCTGTCCGCGTATGTGTGTTTACATGGCCCCGAAAAACATAAAACCCCATACATTGCACCGCTAAGTGCTATTCCTGTCGCTCTTCCACCATTCATATTGGAAGACTTGTCCTTCTATCCTTGCAACACCTCAGACT